AGAGATGCTGCATCGGAAACCCAAGGAGGATTTGTTGTGAGAAATCAGTCTATACAAATGTTAGCTAAAGAAATATTTAATGACTTGCAATCTTAATAGTAATTATCTATTCTTGAAATATTTTTTATCTAGGATATTCTCATGAGAGGGCATATCTGGTACGAGGGGTTGAAAAGTTCAGTGTATAGATGTGATTAGAAAGACAAATGCTGCTAAGGTTAAGAATTTACCTCAAGTAAGGGCTCTGGAATGCACTGACACACATACTTTTTACTCCTAACAGTATTGCAATTAAACTTTTAATTAATCACAGAAACTTTTTTTCCTTTTTTTAATAGTGCAGGGAATAATTTGAAACTAAGGAAAATATGAAGCCTTTAACATTAAGAACATGTTGACAATCAGGGCAAGAACTGTTCAAATGCTGTCTTGAAAACCAACTATCTAACTAGAAAAAGGTAGCTAGGGAAAGGGAGTGGGAAAAAGTCGTACCTTAACATAGTCCAGGTTTCTTGTTAATGGCAAGCAGGTTTTCTCTAACTGAGGACAATCCTAGGCCCTCAATATTACAGAGACAATTACAAAAATCAAATGCATGCTCTTTCTGTTTTCTTAAGGGAGATGCATCAACAAAGCATGGGTATGTGACGGAGATATTGATTGTGAAGATCAATCAGATGAAGATGACTGTGAGAGTTTCTTGTGTGGACCCCCCAAGTACCCTTGTGCTAATGACACTTCAGTGTGCCTGCAGCCAGAGAAACTCTGCAATGGGAGAAGAGATTGCCCTGATGGGTCTGATGAAGGCGATCTTTGTGGTAATGCATGTCCCACTGCCTTTGTCTCCATGGAACTAGAACACTTTCATCCTCTCGCTGACACTTACTGTAGTAATATTCACTCCTCCTATTCATTTCCCTTCAGTATAACTTTTAGCTTTCAACCCTATCTGCATTTTTTGCACTGTAAATCTATACAAAAAGTTTTTAATATGATTAGAAATTTCTGAAAATAAAGTAGAAAAACTAGCCGCTATCCAATTAACTTAGGAGCTCTGGTAGCATAATGCCTAAGGCACTTGACTGCTAACCAGAAGGCTGGCAGTTCAAACCCACCAGCCATCCCTCAGAAGGAAGATGGGGCAATCTACTTCCGTAGTGATACTGCCTCAGAAACCCAAGGAGGGGTCTCTATGGGTCAGGTCCAACTCGAGATGGCACAAAACAACAACAACAAGAACAACAACAACATCCAATTAACTTAACTATTGTATAA